TTACAAAGTAAGTTTAGTAACAAGTGAATTTTTACTATTAAACTTAATAAAATAACTCTACAGTTTTGGTTTTACTAAAAAACTTAGTAATAACCACTATCACGATTTTGGTTTACTAAGAAAACTTAGTAATAATCACCATTGCTACTTTGGTATACTAAGAAAATTTAGTAATAACTGCTATCTTGGTTTTGGAACAATTTTATTAGTAAAAAACGTATCTAAAGCTGCTGATGTATTTTATTTACTATGTTTTCTTAGTAAAATAGCGTTTCTGAAGCTACAGAGGCGTTTTTACTTGTTTTCTTAGTAAAATAGTGTCTCTGAAGCTGCGGAGGTATTTTTTACTATGTTATCTTAGTAAAATAGCGTCTTCAAAGCTGTGAAGGCATTTTTACTATGCTTTCTTCATAAAATAATGTCTTCAAAGTTGTGGAGGCATTTTTTACTATGTTTTTTTTAGTAAAAATGGCATTTCTGAAGCTGCAGAAGCACTTTTAACTATAGTTTTCTTAGTAAGAACCATTCCTGAAGCTTTGGAGATGACTTTACTATTGATTCAAGTCAAATCAAATATTTGAATACTTGATTTGAATTTGATTAAATCAAATATTCAAATATCAAATCGAATTGCGGACCCTAATAAATATATTAACAAGATCTTCTTAAACTAGCTGAATTTTTTGCTTTTAAAAGTTTTGTAAGAAGTCAATAAATATTTTAATATAATAGCTGTTCGATTGGTTAGAAATGTAATACAATTTACATATCATGAAGTAAAAAAAAGCAAAAAATCATAAAATTTTATCAATCAAATGATCAACATTTATATTAATGTTATTTGCTATGATTGAAATATGATATGTTCAGTGATTAATATTATGTTAAATTCATGCGGCATTCTTAAAATATATCTAATATGTATATATCTCCTTATATAGTATCATGTAATAAATACAGTTGTGAAATAAGTTGAGTCTATATCCTCAAAACAGATTTTTCAATTCATCTGATAATCTAAATCATATGATTAAAGTAAAATACTCTATTTTATTAGTATTCCTAGAAATATTATATAAGCAACCTTTTTCAATAAAATGAGTTTATTAATAAATTTTGTAAATTACTTTATAAATTTTAATATCAATTTTTTTTTTAGAATATTTGATCATAAATATAAAATTTATTTTAAATTTGAAAATATAATATAAAAGTAAAATATTTTTATAAATAAAAATAAAATTCATTTTTGTTATAATTTATTAAAATTTCTTTATTAATATTAAAATAATAATAAAAATGTATAATTTAATTTTTATTATTAATTAATATTAAAACTAATATATAAAGAAAAAATATTTTATTTCATATTAAATGGCAAATAAATTTAATATATTTTATATAATTAGAAAATAATTAAAACTGTAATAAAATATAAAGCAAAAAAAAATCAATTATTATTAACTTATAATTTAATAAACAGATATCATATAATAAACTGTATATAATCCTATACTTTATTTTGACTAATTATTATTAATAGAAAATATTAACTATTATTAATTTAAAATGATATTGCATATATTTATATAATTTATAAATAAAACAATAAATAATAAATTAAATTAATAAAATTATTGGTAAAAATTATAGTAGCTAATAAAAAAACTTACATAATCAAAAAATTTATTAATATATAAATATATGAAGCTATATTAAATGAACTTTATTTGGTTAAATTTTTAGAGGCTATTAGCTTATTAATAAAACAAGTAATTAGGCTGAAAAAATGTTTAAATTTCTTTGTAATGTCAATTAAATATCTAAAATTAGATTCTATAGAAATGTTGACATAAATTTTAGCAATAATCGACAAATGATTGAACAATTTGGCAACAAATCTAAAGTTTTAATGATGCTAAAAAAACATTCATAGTTAATGAAAAGCTGGTGATGTGTTCATTCACAATTACGTGATTATCAATTACATCAGCCTCCCTATATTCATAATTGTGCCTCTGAAGTGGTAGAAAACTTGTCATATGGATCCGCCATATCTTCAACTTTTTGCAGTCAAATTGTTTTCAATTTCACTACATGCTGTAAGTTGTGAACGTATTTGGTCAATTTGTGATTGAATTTATGAAACATGTCATACAAGGCTGTTAATGGAAAGTCTTGATGCATTCCTATTATATTACTAACAATAAATCTGAAAAATTGGAATAGGAAAATCTGAAGAAGAAATTTGACAAGTTTTGAAAGATGCGAAGTTATATGAAGATGATGAAGAAGTCAACTTAGACGAAATATTGTTTAATGACCAGTCTAATACTAATGATGATTTAGAAGTATTGCTGAAGACCCTTTAGAAATTGAACAAGATTTTTGCAAAATGCTATGAGATAATGAAGATAATAATCAAGGATTAGAAAGTAAAATGAATGAAACAGTTGATTTAGAAGCTTTTAATAATTAGGAGGATTATAATCCATCAGAATTAGCAGCAACAATGTTTTTGAAATAATATATCTTCATTTTAGTTTTTTATTGTTTATAATAGGAATGTATAGTGTGAACGAAATAAAGTAATTACTAATTATTAATGAACTTATAATTGAACCAGCTAATGTAAAGTTTATTAATTATTAAATAAAATATATTTTTGTTTTAGGGTTTTGAGGTATTGGTTTCAATTTCAGTACTGGTTTCGAAAGTAGATTTTGGTATAGGTTTCGGATTTCGGCACAAGTTTTGGATTTCAGCATCAGCATATAGAAAATAATTCAGAAACTAGGTTTTGACTATTGCCGAATCCAAATATATTTCGGCATATGTAGGTTTCGGCACCCAACACTAAACATGCTAGCAATCCCTATTATTTTTCTAATACTATCTCCGAAATGATTCCAATACATTTTCTCGAACAGATTGTAGTCAACAAAGGTGGCTCATGAAGCGTTTTACATATTTAAATGGGAGATCTGAAACGGAATTCCTCCTCATCACAAGCATTGTCATTATCAACATTATGCTTTTATTTTTGATTTGTGGTCAAATTTGATCGTCGATAACATAGGTCCCCAGAAGCATTTATGAAAATTTTCATAAGTAATAAATAATTGGAAATGCTGTTCCGTCAACAGATGAAACGAGTTCGGAATTTCACCAAGAATTTTCTTTCCATCATCCTCTACATGTAGGCAATTGGTATCAAGTGCCTTATTACTAACGTATTCCTTCTTAAACCGGGCGAAACCCTCTTTCCAGCAAGCTCCATCGATTTTTGTAAAAAAATTTTTTTTTACTTGTAAGCATAGAATGGGGTTATAAGTAATAAATATCTATCTTTTTAAGAATAGTCTTCATCACCGTGTAAATATGGTGTTTTGTAAAGTTTGCTTTTCAGATATGAAATGAGTCGTTTAAATACAATACATGTAGTTTTACCGGTCACTGAATATTGGATTCAAAATCAAAATATAAATAACGTTAGCCTATTTTCTAATAAATATGGTTGATAAATTACAAACCCGATCGAACAAAACGAACGTCGACGAAGGATTGCTAATTATCTCGTACTCAGTATTGGCTATTTGATGCGAAATTGGAGCCATTAAAAATGAGCGACTTGAACAAATACTGCGAGAAAAATAATTTATTTAGAAAACTTATTCGTCAAATATGTAACAGTGAACTCGTGCATATTTACCCTTGATATAGGAGTAAATTTGTTTGTAACAGTAAGTCTGGTAAAACCACATTGTTATCGCTTATCTTTTGGACTGCGCACAGAAACAACTTAAAAAACTTAAAAATTCTCTGTGGCAAGTTGATTATAAATTCTCAATCCATACATATTCGTCCATGCAACATGTAAAGGTTTTGATTTCACTGCAAGCCAAGAACAAGTTGACATAACGTTAGGAGTCCTTAAAAGAATTCATGAAATCTACAATTCCGAACATAATCGTCCAGGGATCTCATCTCCACTTGATAGGCATGAATAGCGTGAGATGATAACCTACAGTATTTTGGAGACCACGCCTCGGATGATTTTTTCAAGACCGTCATATTGTTGAAGTCTTCATTATAAAGCATTTCCCGTATAATTTTGATGGTACTTTCTCTAAACAGAATTTCACACGGGTGTATCATTGAATCGAATGGGTATTGAAGTGACATACTGTATCTTACTTTCGACAGCTTGTTCTCTTTTCACCATAAATAATGATTTTTTATTTTATTTTTTTATTTATAAAAAAAGCTTGAAGGAGGTTCGTTTTTTATATTTTTGTTTTATTAGACAGAAAGGGTATATTAAAAATTTTTTTTGATCTTTTTATGACATCATTTTTTATAATTTTGCGTTAAAACTTTTAGAAGGATAATTACGTTATAAATATTCTTCGTTTCATTCTGTCTTTTAAGATTACTAGTTTCTTCTCCTTAAACTAATTTCAGAAAGCCAGCTAGGAAATAATAGTTTAATTTTTGTATTTTTTTTTTATTAAACAAAACTCTAATCATTCTTTTTTAACGAATAAACGGTTAAATAAATTACCTCCCAAACGAAATTAGAAGGTAACAGTTTGTCTTTTAGTTTAAGTTTTTTTTTTGATTTCCTTTTTGACATATATTATAATTCTTCGACCTATTTATTATTTCCATTCAATTATCTTCAAAATAATAATAAAAAAAAGGTTGACAATATATTTGCTAATCTGAAAAGTGAAATTTTCCCTATATGTTAATTGTGCGACCATAATTAATTCTATTCCGCTTAAAAAAAAAAAAAAAAAAAAAATTCCGACTTTATCACGTCAAATAAAGTTAACTTATAACTTATATGGAGGGAATGCGCACTTGGTTCATTACCCAAAAATTTTATATTATTCGTCATCATTAAATTTTTATATTGTTTCCTTCAAAATAGAAATCAATTTTTTAACTTTTCTAAATTACACAAAAATGACATCAACAACTATTCTACTTTTTTTTTAACCAAATTTCCATTGAAAATAAATATAAAAGAAATGATGACTACTAACCATATTAACAATATGTCGAACATCTACGAAGTCATCGATAGCTTCGATATCGAAGAAGCGCAAAATAATAAACTAAAAATTTATTTAATAAAAAATCATGAAGAAAATTTTTCCTTTCAAAAAAAAATGGCTTGCACCAACGAATATGATAGCAATGGTAGCAACGGTTATAACAACAGCGATGACAGCAATAGAAACCACCAACATGTTTGTCAGTGTTGGTGAAAGACGATGGCGAACTTGTTTTATAGGTTGGAGCTGGCCTAAAATCATTAACCGGTTAAAATATACAGTATTTCTTCATTGTAATGCTTGTATACATTCTTGATAGTCACTTTTCTTTCTCTATGTTTTCTAATTGTACACTGCTCGTAGATATTTATTTGGAAATTGTTCATTATTTATTTTATTGTAATAATTACTTTCTCATTAAATGTTCACATTCTTTAACGGATACTGGCTATTTTACAATTATTAACGATGCGGTGATGCAGTCGGATAATTAAGCATGCATTTTTTTATTAAAAATTGTAATGCTTTGATCGAATTGAACTGTTCGATACGTATCTACAAATATAAATTAGACAAGAGAAAGCTTTTATATTGCGTATAGATCAATTCGTGTCTAATTAATAAATGATTACGCATTAATTAAATTGTAAGTTAAAAGTAAAATCACACATTTTATTTTAAACATACATATTTGTTTAATCATTTTAAAAAAAAAAACACATAAAAAAATATATTATTAACATATCACAAAAAACTGGTACCATTAATATAAATATCAAAAGATTTGATAACGTCTAACTTTAAATAGTCTGCAACTGTTTTGTTATTCATATATGAAAAATTAAAATGTTCTGCAGTCATAATAAAGGTCAAAGAAAGAGGAATACATGGATCACGATTCGCCCATTGTTCAAACTCAGACACAAATCCGTTTTCAAAAAAGTTTATTTCCTCACCATCTTCATCATCTTCACCAGTTACTTCTCCAAAATCTATTGATAACTCCTTGAAATTTGCAGGTGAACAATCAACAACAATTTTCAATATTTCAAGCTCTTGTGAAACAAATCCACTTAGCAAAATATTTAAGCGCTCTAATTGTTGACAATCATTGAAAATTTCTTTCAATGATTTTACGTCTCCACCTGGAAAAAATGTGTATAAGGACTTTAGATTTGGACAAAATTTGCCTAAAACTAAATTTAATGAGCTATCGATATTATCACAAAGTTTAAGCTTCATCAAACTCTTTCCATTGATTTCCAAGAATTTGATTAGGTAATCGTTATCTGGACATTCAGCTCCAAAGATTAAACTCTGCAATTTCGGAAAGGCAACATATTGAAGTATGTTGAAATCTTTTAAAACACCTTCTACGTTACATAATGACAAGCTAAGTTCTTGTAGATTTGAAAGCTCCGATATGAGTAATAGTTGTGAAAATGGTATACCTAAATGTACTCCATTAATGTGTAATTTGGTTAAAGTATTGGGAAATTGTGTAAAAGATTGACGAATATCTCTCACATACTCCAATTCCAAATACTTTAACGTGTTTTGAGATGCTAAAAAATCTACTAATTCATTAGAGAAGTCCTCATCTAACTTTATCTTTAATGATTCTAAATCATGACATATTTGAGAAAGCTTATCAAAAAATTTAGGACCAATTGCCGAACTACACTCCAAAACGGAAAGGCCACGTAAACAAGACTCTTGGAGAAGGTCAGTAACAAGTTGATATACGGGGGGACGAGAGAAAGGAATTATTAATTTTTTCAGAGAGGTTTGATTCATCATCATATTGAATATTTCCGTTGTAAACTGAACATAAGCATTATCAAATTCTGTTCTACTTATAAATTCCGTAACGAAATGACAAATGTCAGTGATACATAGACTCCTGATAAATGACGTATAATGAAATAATGGGGGCCTTGAAGATGAAGTCGAAGATATAATTCCGTTTTTAAACAAAATAGTTTTTGTTTTTTCGGGGAGAAAATTGAGTAAAATTTTAAAATTTTGAATGTTTCTCCCCCATAAAATTCGAACTGCAATTTCACACCAAAGTTTGCTTATTATTAAGCATAACCGTAAATCCATATCATCCAAATATTCAAATATTTCATTTAAGCAGTCAACGGGAAGGTTAAACATTTTGAAGATAAAGGGAAAAATAAGTGTAAGTGAAAAGAAATACGTTTAATGAGTATAGATGTAATTCAAAAAATTTTTTTTTTTACTTGAATTTTTGCACCAAAAGTTGTAAAAACAATTCATTTATTTAAGGAATTTTGACGCACCCTGCTGTCCTTGCATAAGGCTTTCAACGTACCTTTTGTACTTCTAACTTTGCATTTTTTTTTTCAAATTCAAGCCGATCAGATTATTAAAAAGGTCTTTTAGAGTCAAAATATAATTTTTTTCTATTGTTGTAGTGTTGCACAATTTATTTTTCTATTGTTCTCAAGTTCTTTAAAATATAAATGTGTTTTGATGTTATCATTATCTGAGATGGAATTTTCTACTCACGCCATTTTTCCATTATTTAGCTTCCAAATGAAATCGAAAATAGATTTTTTCGAACTTATGCAGACATAATATTAGTTAGTCCCAGGGCACTAGCTATGATAAAAGTGTCGTTTTTGATGCATGACATTTGTATTGCGTCATATTTTCCATCAGGAATGCTGCGGCAAATCTTGTTTTTAAGATAGAACACAGATTTAAAATGGTAATATCTTGTGGTATAAAACTTTAATTTTTGTCACAAGTGCTAAAATAACTTTATCTTTAGATACAGAATCAGAATCGAAATGCATTAATGTACTAATTCTCGACCATAAGATTCATAAATTTTTACTTATAAAAGTTTCAAGTGCTATAGAATTGATTGTGGTTTAAAAGATATATTGAATCCATATATGGATTTTTTATATCGACATCTCAAAGGGTTTAATATTGTAAAATCCAATAAAATTTTCAGATTCTTTTAAAAATATACCCCATATTTGGGATATTGCCCCTAGAGATGTATGTAAAGGATATTTATGAACGATTTATATTAGTTTTAGGAACCTAATACCAAAAAGCATAAAATTTGTATTCAAATTTGATTTGATTAATCGACCAGAAGAAACTGAAGTCCTCAAAAAATGGTTCAAGATGTGATTGCTTGATCAGGAGAAATTGAAGTTCCCCAAGAATTTGTACAAAATATATTTGTTCAATCAGCAGAAACTGGAGTTTTCCAAGAAATTAGATTTCTCAATCAGATGATTTGGTTACATTTCCATGGGAATTCAATATCGTTAAGTGACATAATTATAATTTAGATAATTTAGGTACGTGTTTATTAAAATTATAAAATTTTCTACTTACAGCATCTTTTTAATTAGAGAATTTGGAATTTTCTGAATTTCCTCTTCCAAATAACATATTTCCACTTCCCGATGATCATGATATGCTTTTAGATGAAGCAATATCACAATATATTCAAAATGTTGAAATCCTCCAAATAACAACACTATGTAGCTTTTTTATTCGAAAGGGCTTTTGAATTACTTCTAAATTTCTTTGTTTTATGTATTTTTTTTTGTTTTTATATTGCTATATATTATTAAACTTAATATTTAAGAATTTTTTGACTCGTAATGTATATTACTAATAAGTCAGTTATGAATTAAAATAAAATAAAACGTAATTATGTAAAATAGGGACTTGAATCGATTCAAAAAAGCTGAATCGATTAAAGTATTAATTAGCGATTTTATTATAAATTTTAATCGGAATATAACCAAAAAATAGATAGAAGTTGCGACATGTAGGGGACTTTCTCCTCACTAAGGATTAATTAATATAAAATAATTAATCTTATATTCAAAATTATTCGTATTTGCATCAATTTTTTGTTGTATTTGTAAAGTAACTCAATAAATTCAATAAATTTTGAATTATGAGAGTTCTTCAGTAAAAAATTTATTGGTTAATTAATTTTATTAATAAACTAAATATTAAACATTTATTATATTCAGGTAAGGGAGTATTTGATTATTGTTTAGGCATTGATTTATCTATAATAAAAGCAGAAGAATGTAATGAAGCGATGTGCACTTTTCAACAATCAGCAGAGAAAATTTGATGATTAAACCACAAAGATACTTTAGGTAAAATTAAGCCTTATGTTTAATGCACTGTAATGGCAAAGGCAATTTGCAAGGAAAATTGACACCTACTTGATGGTTTTTCATCTATTAGAAATGTAGTTGTTTTCTTTTTTAATTCCAATATCAATAATTTCACCCATTACTTAACCCAAATTTCAGTTAATGTATATTGACTCTATTTCTTATAATGTTTGTTACTTTCATAAGGGAATGAAAAATTTTATTGTATAAGCTTTAACGATACAAACTAAGTTCCTTATTTTTATTTATTATATAGGTCTGTGAAATAAAAAGGTGCGGCGCAGATAAGACTCGTTAAACACGGAACTCTTATTACACCTTTGATAAGTTCGAAGATAAAAATAACAACGTAACGCGATTTAACCTTGTGAAATGAAAACGTTCATTTCTAAAAAAAATAAATAACATTAACACAAGGTGAAATGCTTCAAATATGATGTTCATTTTTATGTAATAATCATTTGGGCATCCATAAATGGATATTATGAGAAGATTGTCATATAGTATTGTAAAAATTTTTCTTCTTTATGATTATGAAACTGGATAAGAAATATTTTTTTTTTTAATGAAACTTGGTTTAAATGAGATAATAGTTTATAGGTATATACGACATCTATCACAAGGTTAAAAAGGATGTCAGTACGATAATTACGATAATTCCAGGAGATTTTTGAAAAAGAAAATCGTTACCCACTTATTCGTTAAATTTATATTGCAGAAGTCATGTTTGAATTCCCAGGTTATTTATTTTCTTTTACCAGCTATTATTTTCGCTGGCTTCCCGGTGGGTTTGCTTACTGGAGGAGGAGTAGCAACCTTGTCGACCTTCTTCTCCAATGCATTCAAGGACTTGTTGATCTTTGCTTTCAAATCGCTGACGTTATTACCACTAGAAGACATCTTGGAAATAATTTTTTTTTGTTTTAAAATTGGATATAAGCTAATGAGAAGTTTCAATGAATTCGAGCCTAAACATTTAAATAGATATAAGAGTGCTTATTTATATAGTATTAAATATTACCGCACCGTATCAACTTTGCGGAAAATGTTATTTCTCGCCCCCAATAAAAGGGGATTGATTCGACTGATGCTTCGATCTTCTGCAGATCACTAGTTCATGAATATTACAATTTTACTTATATTCTCATAAAAGGCAATTCTTCTTGCACAGCCGTGTTTTTATATTCTAATTTACTATAATCCAATTTATTTTTCAAGTAGAGAAAAAAAAATAATAATAAATTGATCACGCACTTTCTTAAAGACCGCACCTTTCAAGGAAAATGGCGTAATTAATAAAGTCTTTTAAAATGAATCGCTAACAAGAGAAATTATTAAAATTGCCTTAATAAGGAAAGATATTACACGATTAGAGATATCAACAATGTGCAATACAAACTCATTGTTTGTAAATAAGACTAAATCCTAGTGGCAAATAATTTATCCAATTTTAGTATAAATTCGCGAATAACAATGGAAACAACGTTCGTTTGTTACAATGGCAGAATATAAATTATATTAATTTGTTTAAAGTTATCATTCTATTTTACCTTAATATATTAATGTTCTTTTGAATATGTTTATTATTATAAATTTTACAAGTAAAAAAACTATTTTCAGAAATTATTGATAATTAAAATCTACGATAAATCCGAGTTATTCAAATCACGAGTTGGCCAGTCCTGAAAAGATAAGAATAGTCGCAATAACTACTAACGAACCTAAATTTGGACAAAAAGGTTGCAACTTTATTTCTTCTGTTACATTAACATTATCATCCAATTTCATTATTTTATGTAATACTTAAACAAAAAAGAGTAAATTAATAAGATTCAATTTAATTGTCAATCTCACCCGGAGTTATTACTGTATAGTAATTTATTTAATAAAATTAATTACTCAAAATTAATAACAAAAAAAGAGCAGTTAACTTCAGATTTGTTACCTTGAAATGCAATATATAGATTCATGGTATAACAAATTTAATTAAATGATTAATAAATAAACGAAATAAGTGAACTTGTTAATTAGATAGGAATACAAGAGAAAGTATTCGGTATTATTGGCAAATATAAAACTCGTGACAAATATTAAACTTGTTTACCTTGAATTTTATTAAAAAAATTCGATTTGTTTTGTTGGTCTGACTTCCAACAGTATAAGAAGTAGAAGCATAGAGTTGAGATAATACTGAAAAACTCTTGCAATCAGAGGAAAGCCTAATTCAACTTTGAAGACCCCTTTTGTCAGTAGAGAAATTGATAACGTTGAATGTTGTGAAAAGGTTTTAGGTTTACCTTAAATATCACAATGGGTTATATATATCTTTCGTTACAAATAAATTTCATTTGAATCGATAAATCTTTTATAGTTATGATTCAATTATTTTTCTTAAAATGTCCAAAAATTTTTAATTAAGAAAATTTTGGTTACATTTAGAAATGATAAAATAATATATTTCAATCGAAGCGATTATCAAAAGAAAACTTTTTATTTGCTATAAGCTGTAATATCCATAAAGGTGATATACCTCCCTCGTGAAATTTAAGGAATTAATCTATGGATTAAATTCATAATTTGACCCAGAAGTTTTACTAAAAATAATCTGGGATTAAACTGGACTTTTGAACAGGATGGTGCCTCATATGTTTTTTTAGTATTAGTTTTGCATTATGCTTAGGGATAGGAATGTTCTAATCAGAGTCAATTCTAAAACTAGTGAATTTAATTGAGAATAATCGATCATTGATCAAGTCAGTCAATTCATCAATTTCTATATAAATTTATTACGGTTGATCTATTATAGAAATATGATAAAATTTTGGCCACATTTTTTGTATTATCATTTCCTTGTATACAAGAATTTTATCAATAAAAAAATGATAAAACTTTGGTACAACTTTTTGTTATTTTCTAATATAAAATGCTTATTTTTTTGTTATTTATTTCTTCCTACATATTTATTTTGAATTATGCAGATTTCCTAATTAGGTTGAATTTGAAGATTGATGTAGACAAATTGACTTTTTCGCTTCATTTGTAACTTGGTTGTACTGATCTTCAATCATTCTATGTATTTTTGGAAATACACAACATGAACATTGATTTTCAATTTCATATAGCTATGGGTTACTTATATAATTATTAGAGTAAATTTGTGATTTAAGCTTTCCTGTGACAAGTGTTCATCAAATGATTATATTATGACTGCCAAATGATTTAAATGACAAATAACAAATAACTGGTCATTTTAATAATCAAATAATTACTAATTTCAATAATTTTTAAATATAACATATTTTGTAAATTTTTATTATTTATTTTGTTTATTATAGTATAAGTTGTTTGTTAAAATGCGGGACATTCTCTACTGAAGTATCCAACTTTTTTACAATTAAAACAAGATAAATTGGTCATTTGTAATCTTCTTTAAGTATTAGTGAAGTTTCGATTGTTAGCGAAATTTCATTTATTAGGATTAAACTTCTTAAAGGTATTTGGGATTAAATAAACAAGGCAGTTGTTAAATTAGCATAGTTAATATTTAGTTGTTTCATCCTTTTTGTCAATTCATCAATTTCATTACTTATAAAAGCATTTTTAGGAGTAACAGGAGTAATACTAGTAATCATATTAATGTTTTTAGAAATTTATTAATTACAAAGTTATAGCTGATTTTGATAGTTCTTGCTGAATTTACTGCAATATTCAAGTCGGCTGGATTTTGAAAATATATGAAAGGTATATATAGGGTTAAATCTTATAAGAATCATTTTTTTCTTTTGAATATCATCTATTATTCTGATTCTATTTACTAATTTTTTAAATTTATTAGTACTAATTCATCAGTTTGTTGTTAATATACAAATAATTTCTGATACCACTGGTTTTTACAATTTAAAAAGATCTACAAAGTTATTTTTAATGTTAATTACTATATTCTAATGGTTAATGATAATTACAAAAATTTATTTAAACTGATCTATGTTTATATGTTCTGTAGTAATATCCCTTTTTAGTTTCTGTAATCCATCTGTTAATAATGAATCCTCATCCAAAAACAGTAAGCTATTTACTTATATCTTTATTCTCATTTTCATAAAATAATCAAGTTTAATAGTAGAATTTCTTCACATGGTTTTATTCTACTTACAGCTAATATTTCTTTTAAAGTTTGTCTTAATTCAACTTCTGTAGCTACCATTATTTTGAATAGTGATATAGGTGATTAAAACTAGATACAAAATTTGCTTGGCAGAAAAACTGGATTTATTATATTTAAATTTATTTAATCCTCTGGATTTATTATATCTGTATTTATTTAAACTCCAAAATCTAGTTATTTTTGACTAATCATATATTACATATCATAATTAACTAAAAAATAATTTATTTAAAAGTTTGCATTTAAGAGCAAATACTTAATTTAGAAATTTGAAACAAAAAAATAATACTTATTATTATTTTCATTTGTAAATTTTAATTTATTATATTATAAACTAAACTTAAATTTGAATTGAT